CATAGTATAAAATAAAGTAACTGTCGCTGTCTGTCTGTTCCTATGTATGCTTAAATCTTTAAAAATAGGCAACAGATTTTGAAGCGGTTTTTCTTAATAGATAGAGTGATTCAAGAGGAAAGTTTATAGGTATAATACATGTACACCCGGGCGAAGCCGGGACGAGTAGCTAGTATAAAATATACCTAACTACAAAAAACGTATAAGTAATGTAATGTGTATGCATCGCCCATACGCAAAATGGACTCCCCTTTATCTCAGTGTATTGTTTGGCCGATTGATCAATAGATAGAACTTTTATTTGCGTTAAAGGGTGTCCTTTAACCTTAAGGTTCACTAATATAAAGAAAAGGATACAAAGTAAATACACAACTACATTGGTCAGTAAACAATATACAGTATAGATACTAACAACATGTAAGTAACGTAGTGTGTGTGCATCGCATACGCAAAAAGCATCTTAGTGTATTGGCCGATTGATAAATAGAACTTTAACGTTAAAGGACATACAAAAGGTTCAGTAATATAAAGAAAAAGATACAAAATAAATACACAACTATATTGGCCAGTTAACAATACATAACAGAGGTACAAACAACGTGTGAATAAGGTAATGAGTGTGCATCGCCCATACGCAAAGAGGCAGCACCTAATTGTATTGTTTGCTCGAGCAAACCACTGATTTTCAGGTACTGCCCAAAGATATGCGAGGACGCATGTCTCAAAACCGCCGTATCTAATCATTACTAGTACACTCATACTTCCTACTAATATTATAAACGCGAAAGTTTGTAAGTGTGTATGGATGTTTGTTAATCTTTCAAAACTACTGAACCGATTTTGTTGAAAACCACACTGAAAACCAGCGTCGTGGCACCCCGTCACGACATATGCTAAGCGGAGACCTAGTTGGTACTCTAATTATTAATATAAAATGTAAATTTAATTTTAAAAATTATTTTCAGTGTACCAATTAAACAATTTTCTTTCTTTCTTTCTTTCTTTCTTTCTTTCTTTCTTTCTTTCTTTCTTTCTATATAGCTTCTACATCAGAATAAAACAGGCTATAAATTTCACGTGAGGGAAACCGCAGCAATAGTTAGTCTAGTGACTAAGGAATAGCAGATGATGATAGTTCATCATCATCTGCTTCTTCCTTATCCCATTTATTTGGAGTCGGCGTAATATGTTTTTCTGTTCCATTCATCTCTATACATGATTGAAATAAAGTAACCCCAATTTTTTTTCGAACTTCTTTCATGCTGCACCTCCAAAGTCGCTAGTTTTAACAACTTTACCGGACCATACGGGTCGAGTGTGGATCTTTAGTTTGAAAAACACGTTTTTATACGTATATACGTTTTATAAATTTAACTAGTCTTTTCAAATGTCAAAACTATAACATCAATAATAAATGCTTCCTCTCAATATGATATTATGTTAATATTATTATAGTATACGATACAATAATTACGTGTTAACCGCCAACTAGTTCATTTGCGTTTATTTTACGAGCGCAGTTATTTGAGTGTTGTCGGGACGTTTTGATCTTTCATAACATTACATCTGTTACAATGAGTAGTGGCCGGTTGTATATATCAAGTATATTTTCTAAGAAACGTACAAATTATTAAAAATATCGACTTTTTTTTTATTTTCGGACTACTCCAATGCCGTTGGCCGTAGCTGGCCTTTACAGCTTCATGGGGCGAGTGCAGATGGCACTCCAAACCCGCGGAAGGACTTATGGAGCGGCTGAAGGTCAACTCCTGCCCGACGGATACGACTTTAGTCTGAGGGCACCACTAGGGGTTCGAACCTCGGCTCAGGCCGTCGTAATTTCGATCCCCGTTTGAATTGGACGGGGGTCGATCGGACGGGGTTGGGTTGTTCGTTTCAAATATTAATTTATTATTATTTTTAAATCTTTATTCTTCCACACAACACATCGGTTCAAGAATAAAAAGTTATAAGTTAACATACAAAAAATCAGACATTTGAGAACCTACTTCTTTTTTGAAGTCGGTTGAAAAGATACGAAACGGCGTAATCTAAACACTATATCAGAGATCGGTTCAAGTAGAAAAAGTTATAAGTTAACACACAAAAAATCAGTCATTTGAGAACCTACTTCTTTTTTGAAGTCGATTGAAAAGGTACGAAACGGCGTAATCTAAATGTAATGTCAGACATTGGAATTGCTTTTCAGAGAAGATTCCAGAGAAGCAGCTCAGGAATGTTTCTGTTCTGGTACAAATAAAACGGGCCGTACCTCAGATTCGTGTTTGCTCCAGTCGTCATAACATACCACATAATCCGTTCGACCTAACCCCGTTCTCTTATACCACATGTAATGAGTATTTTCACAACTGTTTCTTGAGTAGAGTTCCGTAGTATTTTTTGTATGTTCCTGCATGAGTCACAGTTCACTAACACTTTCCTGGCAGCGATATTTCAACACTTTAACAGCTAAATCCGTCATGTGGGCTACATAGGTACAATTAAATAATGACTCTGACAAATAGTTTGACCGATATTATATTTTTACCGTTTTCTTTTTACAATAGCATAACTGCTGCATGAAATTTATAGCTTATATGTTATTCTGATGTATAAGCTATATTACTGTAAAGTTTCATCAAAATCTGTTCAGTAGTTTTTGCATGAAAGAATAACAAACATCCATGCATATATCCATACTCACAAACTTTCGCATTTACTATAAAACTACCTTTATTGTTATCGCATCATTATCTTTAACATACATACATATGATGATATCATTATATAGTATAAAACAAAGTCGCTGTCGCTGTCTGTCCGTCCCTATGTATGCTTATATCTCTAAAATTACGCAACGGATTTTGAAGCGGTTTTTTTAATAGATAAAGTGGATTCAAGAGGAAGGTCTATATGTATAATACATGTACACCCGTGTGAAGCCGGGGTGGGTAGCTAGTATATAATATATATATTTATTAAAATAAATTTTATTGTATATCAATTATTTTATCAACTTTTTCATTGAGGACTGACTGTACCCGCGGTTTCACCCGCATCAAATTTATAGCTTATGTGTTCTTCTAATTATCTAATATATAAGATATATCACCGTAAAGTTTCATCAACATCCGTACAGTAGTTTTCGCGTGCTTTCACGTGACAACTGGATACTCGCAAACTTCCGCGTTTATAATATTTGTAAGATAAATGTACGTTGTTCAATTAAATTTTCACTTTATGAAATATCTTGTATTTATTTGGGCTCCCGCTGGGTTCCTAGCCAATGTAGGAGCTTAAGGCAGTTCATTTATATGATTTTTTTATAAATTATGATCCTAATTTGACCTGGTCGACCGCTAGTAAAGATTGCATCGCTTTTTGTAATGTATTTTCTAACATCTTATATTTCTTCGAAACTATTTTAATACTGTTGGCCGCAGCTGGCCTTTACAGCTTCACCGAACGATAGGGGGCGAGTGCAGATGGCACTCCAAACCAAAGGAAGGACTTATAGAGCGGCTGAAGGACAACTCCTGCCTCACGGTTATTCTAAGGACACCGCTAGGGGCTCGAACTGCGTCTCAGGCCATCGTAATTTCGATCCCCTTTTGAACTGGTCGGGGATCGATCAGAAGGGGATTCTAACGTTCTGTGTTTTGGTGTTATCTTTATTCGCAATAGAGAGTTATTATTATTTATGTTTTTATACGGATTTAACATATAACATTTAAAAAGCTTATACTACACCCGTATGTCTGTCTGTCATGCGTAATTTATAAAGTACATTTATACGCTTTCATCGTCGACTGTTGGGAAATGTAGTGCGTTGATGGATGTGGTTGGGTTGAAGTGAATATTTGTTTGGTTCATTTTGACTGCGTAGTTTACTGTGTTAGCTGCATTAATTTTTTTTAACTTTAACTAGATTTGGAATTACAAGAGGCATGACTGCATTATACAATTGTGATGTATTTTTTTTTGTATAATAATGGAATAATGCGCCTGCGTTAACGGTTTACGCTGGCGGGGCATCAGTGGAGGATAAGATGAGTATGAGATCAGGTCAGTTGGCCGATCGTGACAAATTCACCAAGTATTTTATCACAATTTTTTCCAGGGGGAACCGCGTGGAGGTCGACCTAACATGGTACATTGCTAGCAATGGGTGTTACTAGTTCCCCTCCCCCCCTGTATGAGAAATATCAGATTTTTTTTTTACTAATTTTAATTAGATGTGAAATTACACGATAAGAGGCATGATATATTAGTCCTCTGAAATTGTAACGCTTGTGTGGTGTAAAAAAATAACGATATGTACGTAGTGTTGTTCATGTTCGTAAAAAGTACGAGAAAGTTGCATGTTGCTCTTTTAAATAACTATTATACTCTTCTTCTTTAATCTTTATCTGCTTCTTCCTTATCCCATTTATTTGGGGTCGGCGTAATATGTTTTTCGCTTCCATTCATCTCTGTTCGCAGTCATCGCGTTATTTACTTCCTTTCTTACCATATCATCTTTCACACAGTCCAATCATCTCTTTTTCGGCCTTCCTCTGCCTTTATAACCATCCACATTCATATGTAACACCTTTCTTAAAATATTATCCTCGTTCCTACGCATTACATGTCCATACCATGATAGACGATTACTCTTCAACCACTCCGACACCGGCGCCACTTTCATACTTCCTCTAATGTATTCATTCTTTATCTTATCCATTCTTGTCACACCACACATCCACCTCAACATTCGCATTTTAGTTGCATACTCTTCTTCTTTAATATTAAAGCCAATCCAGATGTATGTACACCAAAACTAGTAAGATCTTGTCTATGATTTCGAAGGTGAACGGAATGGCGGGCGCGCCTGGTGTTCTTTTAAATAACTAATGTATTTACGCCAGAATTGTAGCAACATATTGTCTATGGTTATGATTGGCGGGTGCGCCTGGTGTTGTTGTCTATGGTGGTGTGATGACGTCACGCGTTATGTGCAGGGCAGTTGTTGCTGGGTAGACGGCAGCGGCCGGTGCGTGCGGTTGACGGACACGTCGCTGCTGACCCTCACAGAAGTAGAGCGGCGCGCCCTGCAGCAGGTGGCGCTCGCCAAGCTGCACGAGATGAAGCTGGGCATACCCATCAAGATACCCGAAGGTGAGCTGCAATGTTAATTTTATTATACCTACTGTAGTATATGTGTACATCGCATTTTTTTTCAATCGGTAAAAATGCTATGACTATTCAAAAATGCTTCAATGTAAGTATTTAAGTAATTCATTTTATAGAAATTGCGTAAGGTTTTACAATAAACTGCCAGAGTCTATACTCAATTTGCCAGAAAAAAGATTTAAATGCTTTATAAAACATTTCCATTGTAAAAAAAGCTAATTATAAAATTGAAGAATTTATAAATGATAATAGTGTTTTTGTAGAAAATATTTAACTTGAAATTCATAGCGCTGACAATGTTATCTGATTGAACAAAGATTGAGTGCGTAGCAGTTTCTATATTTCTATCATGCCTAATCCTTTTTAATGTAAATCTAATTAAAAGAGCAACCTACCAGTTTCATGGTCATTCCTTTTGTGATGAGTCTGCGTTCCGAATGAGTGGTAGGATAAAGAAAATGTGACTATTCAAAAGTGCTTATATTAAGTTTATTTGAATAAAGATTATTTCTATTTCTATTTTAATGATTTTCTATTCTATTCTATTCCTTGCGTTCACAGTTTATTCGGCTATTTGTTCATGGAATGATCGTAAAAGTAAAATGTGAATGTTATACACTTCGCGCGCGGTGTGCGACGCGAGCTGTGTCTATTTTTCACAACGTATTAAAATTCCCATGCACCGAGCGTGGAAGTGTTAATGGGGGTATAATGAGGTATGGGTTGTGAGCCAATAACTATCTATATTCATGAGAAACAACAAATAGGATGAGGGATTTTTTTACTAGCTGTGCCCGCGATTTCAACCGCGTGAAATATATAGGCTATATGTTATTCTGATGTATAAGCTATATTACTGTAAAGTTCCTTCAAAATCCCTTCAGTAGTTTTTGCGTGAAAGAGTAATAAACCATCTATCCATACTTACAAACTTTCGCGTTTATAATCTTAATAAGACATCGATCATAACAATAAATATTTGGTCCAATAATTTAATAAAATAATTTTGTGTTGCGTGCACACTTGTATGACTTGGGATATGAAATATAGTTAACGTCCTATTCATCAGACCTACTGAATATACGTTTAAATCGAAGGCACAGCTGGTTAAATATATTTTAGTATTTTATTTTCGATCACAAATAGCCAAATAATTCATTTAAAAATAAAGTTATATAATTCAAATATGGAACATTGATATTATTTTGTTTTACTATTTATACATTTTTTCACTTCTTCTCGAACATTCCGTAGCGTCACTATTAAATTCAGTGTATAATAAATTCTATCTGTTTTTCATTTCATTCTTGTAATAATATAAACATAGCAAATTTACTAGACTTATACCATCAACCTTTATTTTGTAATAGCGATTAGTATAATTTATATGCAAAAACACCTTTTACCGGGTCAGCTAGTTATAATATTTCTTTCCTTTATTCATGTGGGTCTATTACAGACTCTTATGATTTGTCAAATCTACTGTCAGTTCGCAATGATTCCGAGATGAGAAGAATTGACAAAAAACTCAGATTGTATTATTTTCAAGTATACATAGATTCATTTCTAAATTCAAATTTGGGAGAATAGAGTGACCACCAGCATATGCTATTGCAAAAGCAAAATGTCTAATTAGTGATCGTTATAATATAAATTATGTAAAAAATACTGTTATATTGCATTATATTGTACTAAATTCAAATTCAAAATATCTTTATTCACGTAGGTCTATTACAGACTCTTATGATATGTCAAATCTACCGTTAGTTCGGAATGATTTTGAGATGAGAACTGAAAAGAAACTCATCTCGTATTCTTTTCAAATGAATGTTGTATGTTTACAATAATATTATATTATAATTCATTTTAAAACTTAAATTTGGGAGAATAGAGGGCACCACCAGCATATGCTATTGCAAAAGCAAATAGTCTTGGATCAGTGTTCGTAACCTGAACAGACTAGTCCCCACAAGCAGCACCCGTTCACGAGTATAACGGATAAAAAAACCTAATATATATAAAAAAAACTCTACAGAAAATATCGGTAAACAGCTCAATTCGTAATATTAGTGATTGCAGACGGAAATTCCTATTTGACATGATATTGTATAGACACACATGTTACAATACAATGTATTTTATAACATGTTAGAAAACAAAGTGTTTGTAGCGCAGCCAGAATCAATATTCGCGTTTCGTGTGTCACGTGTCCTCAAACTGGACTGCAATCCGAAACCGACCGGTTGGGAAGTCGACACTCACTGCCACTCGGCCGACATGTATTTTAGGCGCTCTAGCTACGAGTTTTACAGGGGATTCTTAGCATATATACTAGGTTTTGTCTGCGGCTTTGTATATTTTTTAAGGTTCCTGGGTCGAATATGGTTCTTAATGTTTGACATTTTAAGACGTCGCCTTACCTCCGATGGTCGCCGGTTCGATTCCTCGTGCCATACAAACTTTTGTTTTCCTGAGTATGATTGTTTGTATTAGTTTGGATATTTTGAATGCATATTATTTATTATAAAAAATGTAACTATAAGACTAGAATACACAACATTTTGAATTTTTTTAATTTTAACATTTTACGCTCTACGACCACCCATCCAGGAAATAACCACTCTTAGGGTTACTTAACCTCATTGATTGAAACAAGTCATGTTAAATGCCCTCCAATACAAATAGTTTTATTCAGACATCGAGAAATGTGCATCTATCTTGGGCAGGTGACCTACTCGACAATGGGTTATAAATAAATTGACACATACAAGACGTGCCGAGCTATTTTCAAAATGGCCGCTCAAATAAATACGTATAATCGCGCGCGACATTACGCAAGCGTGACGCGACGTGACGTTATCGTACACGCCGCCGTATTGGCGATATTCGATATATACATACATATTAACCCAACTTCGCACGGGAAAATAATTACTTTATTATGACATTGAAACTAGCATTTATCGATAAAAAGTTTCATCCCTTATTTCACCCCCTCAAGGGTGGAATTCGAAAAATTATCAAATGCATATTATCCCAACTTTGCACGGCAAAATTATTACTTTAGTATGACATGAAAACTAGCATTTATCAATAAAAGTTTCATCCCTTATTTCAACCCCGCAAGGATAAAATTTGGGATTATATCAAAATACCATACCGATTACTTCAAATGTAAATACAATCATAAACTTTCATTTATAATACTAAAAATATTAGGTGTATTCTGAGAAAGTAATATTCTTTATCTTATAGTTTACGGGGTAAATTTTGAATAAATAATAAGTTTACAGGGAATTAAAAATTTTGTACTAAGTGTGTTTGATAGTTTCAGTCTTCAGTTACCTACATCAAAACTATTTTAAATGAGACAGTAAATATGTATACTAATATTATAAAGCTGAAGAGTTTGTTTGTTTGTTTGAACGCGCTTATCTTAGAAACTACTGGTTCGATTTGAAAAATTCCTTTAATGTTGGATAGTCCATTTGTCAACGAAGGCTTTAAATTATATAACACTAACTGCTCGCCCCGAATTCGCCCGGGTGTTCATGTATTATATATATAAACCTTCCTCTAGAATCGCTCTATCTATTAAAAAAAAACCGCTTCAAAATCCATTGCGTAGTTTTAAAGATTTAAGCATACATAAGACGCACAGACAGAGGCAGCGATTTTATAATGATTACGTTTTTTTAACTACAGCCAAAAACATTAGAACTATTCTAATGTTTTTGGCTGTAGTTGACCTTTACCTTAATATAGGGGCAAGTGCGGAGGGCACTCCAAATTCTCAAAGTGACTAATAGAGCGCTACAAGATTACTGTCTAACGGCTACTTCTTCAGTCTTAGAGCATCGCTAAGGGCTCGAATCTCGGCCCAAACTGTCGTCATTTCCATCCGCATATGAAAGGGACGGGTGATCAATCGGAGGAGAATGGTTTTCCCACAGCATAGCAGTCCAGAGAGCATCATTATTACATCATCTACGAAATAATCTAAATCTAAATGATGGTATATTACTATTAGTTCTAGCTCTCAGCGTTCTAACTGAAGTAGTTGATTATGCGCTATTAAGCCACTCAGTGCCTAAGTAGTTCACACACATTACACATTGGAATCTCGCAAACGAGATCCACACACAATCGCGGTTATACTAAAAATAACCGGAATCCAAAGCATTCGGCATCCCCGGCTCATTATCTTAAATACGTCCGCGTGTCAGTTTTTCGAGAATGTAATCGCTTTGCATGCGCATTATTTATGCTAAGAGAAATTTCGAAACCAAAGACTTCTAATTGTACGAGAATCCTTGTACGACATTTTGAAAGAGATAGGGGGAGAGACGAAATTTTTGACGTGAAAACCAAGGACTTTTAACTGTACGAGAATCCTTGTACGACATTTTGAAGAGAGGGAAGTAAATGAAATTTTTAGCATTCCATGGATTCGGCTTCCGTGTACTGGGTCCATCGTGTGGCAGAGAGGGAAACTCCCGAGTAGTTTCGGGACTTGTGACCAGGGTAGGTTTACGACGCCTTTTTGCCGATGTACGTTACACTACATTCACCTTCACCGCTAGTGTTTCTCTCCTTGCCCAACCAAATCTGGTAGGAGGAAAATGGCCAAAATATGATGATGTTACAAGGTCGTACACTCTTTACAGAGTGGTCGTGTCTTTCATGATGATTTCAGTAGATTTTCTTCATTATTCTCCATGGTGATAGAGCTTCCCGCATTTTATTTCAATCTAAAGGCAACAATTAGTACGGGATTTAGGCCCAAAGTTTAATTTTGAAATTTTTTGTCCGTAGGCCTGTTTTTCTAGCTAATCTTTGGAACGCCTGGGCCATAAACAAAGTTGAATTCCACGCAGACGAAGTTGCGTTTGAAGCTAGTAAGTCAGTAAAGAAGATTTTCCTTGCTCCTAAAGAAAATTTTTCAGAGTTTTGCTCCTAACGTCGCGAATGTTAAATGATATTGAAGTTGATGTCATTAAGTCTGTTTTACTTTTATTTGTTAAATTGCAGTTACTATAGACACTTTCAATTTACCTGTCATGTTATCAACAGCTTGCCAGAATTTTGCTTCCAACTTCACAAGTATTATGTGGTATTGGACTTGTCAAATAAATCTTTATTAACGTAATTAAAGGTACACGTTGCTCCGAGTACACGTTGTCGCATTGCAATTGCACGAGTGCGGTTGCAATGCGACATGCGACATTATTTGATGTCGGCGCCGTTCACGTGGTACCGGCGGGCTGAATATTTAGCGCGCTGACCATTTTGTAGGTTCCAACGCCTCGAATTACTTTGAGAATGCGATTTTTTATGTTCTCAATTGCATTTTTAACTCATAATCTTAATAATATTATAAACGCGAAAGTTTGTACGTATGGAGCGCTGTTACTCTTTCACGCAAAAACTACTGAACGGATTTTTATGAAACTTTACAGTAAAATAGCTTATACATTAGAATAACATATAGACTATATTGTTTAATGAAATTTAACGCGGTTGAAACCGCGGACACAGCTAGTATTATAAACCCGAATGTTTGTGAATATGGATGTTTGTTACTTTTTCACGCAGAAACTTCTGATCGGATTTTGATGAAACTTTACAGTAATATAGCTTATACATCAGAATAACACATAGGTTATAATTTAGAGACATATTGTGTAAATTGGGCGAAATGTATTCAATAGTTTTTGCGTGAAAGAGTAACAAACATCCATCCATACTCATAAACTTTCGCATTTATAATATTAATAAGAATATTCTTGTTTCGCAATACCTCAGCGGGAGCACGTGAGCCCGCGTCCGGCGCGTACGCACTTCGCGTCGCAATTTTCTATCAAAACAAGTGTCGAGTTGCGCCACTTCGTATTGCACATTTGTTTGTTTGTTTTTGACGTTTTTTTTTATGTAACTGGAATGCCAAACAAGTGGACTGTTCAGCTGATGAAAATGAGAGTTATTTTTTGGTTTAACTTGCAAAATTACAAGCGCCCCTTTCGGTTTTAGATTTGACATATCATAAGAGACTGTAAGTCCTACATGATTAAAGATACTTTTATTTGAATTGATAGATAGAGCTTTATACTTAGGAGCTTTATACAAAATCCATCTTAGTGATTATTTAATAATAAAAATAATAACTATTTACAGCGCGAAGAGAAAGTATATTAAAAGTGTTTTACAAAAGGCGGTCTTATCGCTAATATAATTAGATATAATAGCAATCTCTTAGAAACTTGGTATTGATAAAAAGTGTTTTTAGATAGAGAAGTTTGGGGGCGCACACTAGACACTACAATTATTATACACTTGTAGATACATCTTCCGAGCATACTCTGAATGGTCACAAAATTGGTTTATCTTTTTGCCAGCTATCAGTTAAAAGGTAAAAGAGCAACACGTTCTCGGTCATTCTTCTTGTTATGAGTCTGCTTTCCGAATATAATTATTCTAAAGTCCTTATATTAAGTTTATTTGCATGAGTGGTAGAATAAAAAAATGACTATTCGAAAGTGTTTATATTAAGTTTATTTGTAAAAAAATTATTTCTATTTCTATTAATTGAGTGTGTATTTGTTGATAGAGAATGCGGTTGCGGCATCTACGAAACCAAAAAGACGCGCGTACCTCTTGAAAAGGAAAGCGCTGACCACTGGCTTCTTCGACCAGAGTCGGACCAAGGACGAGAAGGACAAGGGTGAGAAATTTACCTTTTCTTATTAACCCTAAGCGAACCTTGGGGAACGTTGCCCTCTTACTACTTGTAGAGGCTAGTCTGTTAACTGCCGACATCTCTATAACTGATTTATTTTGTGGCTCAACAAATCGTATGTCTTGTATATAAATTTTCATGGTTTTGTATTATTTATTCGACGATCTTGGTGGTCTAGCGGAATAGCACATTTTTTTACTCGTTAGAGGGCGCCACTAAGTTATGTCTCGTGGAGATAGAGGCTAGTCCCCATCTAGTCTGTGGTTAGTCTTGGCTCTCTTACGCCATATCATCCATAGGTGGCTATAGCGACTAGCGGGCAAATACTTGTGAGAGGACACTTTTGACGACCTCGGTGGTCTAGTGGTTTAGCACTCTGCTTTACTTCCGATGATCGCGGGTTCGATTCCTCGAACAGCGCGAACATTTCTATTCATGAGTATGATTATATCAGTCTGGGTATTTTCTAATCTATATTATGTACATACATATGTTGTATTAAATTTAGTTGAACATCTATTCTGTTCTAATGTATTTTTTTTTCATAAATGGTACAGTTAGGTACATATTCTTTATTTATGAGCGAAGCCAACAGCGGCACGACGAGAATGACTAACTGTTAGGTGTCTGCCAATACTCAGGGATCATGTTCGGAGCTTTACACAAGTGCGGTATGCGCCAATTTCATCTAGTCATTATGTACACATTTATTATAAAATAGTTCTTAAACCGTCGGGCTTAATTTGCGGATTGAAATGTGACATAGATATTTGTTAGAAGCAAAATCTGACAAGATTTATCAAGGCCGTTACAACTGGCGACAACTCACTTCCATGGCAACGAGATTTGGTATTTGTGTAGTACTAGTATTGGTTAGACAACAAAATATTATTAATATTATAAACGCGAAAGTTTGTGAGTATGTATGGATGTTTGTTTCTCTTTCGTATCTTCTTGACGGCCTCGGTGGTTTTGCGGTAAAGGATACCGCTTTTCTTCCGATGGTCGCGGGTTCGATTCCTCTCACGGCACAAACATTTGTATTCATGTACGGTTGTTTGTATCGTTCTGGGTGTTTTCTTAGTGTAATATGTATGTATTTACGAAAAAAAAGTATCTATGTATTTGTATAAGTTATCTAGTACCCAGAATACAAGCTTTAGCTAGCTTAACTTAGATCTAGATGGCGCTGTGTGAATTGTCTTGAGATTATGATTATTTCATGCAAAAACTACTGAACAAATGTTGATGAAACTTTACAGTAATATAGCTTATACATTAGATTAACATATAGGCTATAAATTTGATGCGGCTGAAAATGCGGGCAGTCCTAGTTAGATATAAACTAACGGCCCGGCCCCGCACGGATAAGTTATAAATCATAACAGACAGTGTGTGCGCGTGAATTGTCCTGAGATATCATTATTATAACTTTTTGACACGCACAGCCACATTGAGGAATCTTCCAGTAATGGTATTGCGAACCCATACGATATTGAAACCTTCTTCTTCTGAAGAGCTTATTTCTTTTTAAAAAGCCACTAATGCACTTGCAATTTCCCTAGTGTTGCGGGTGCTCATGGGCGGCGTTAATCACTTGCCATCACTGAGCCGCAAGCTCGTTTGTCCCCTATACTATAAAATTTGGGTAAACTAGATGAATTCGACCACTGCATGTTCATAAATGTTGTATTCCAACCTCATTTTACGGTAATCGACGCAACACATTATATAATGTGAAGGAATGCAGATGCAATGATTCAATGGTTATAAAAATCTTGATATTTTACAATCTCGGTAAACTGTGCTAACAATAAATCACTATGATGTATTCATTAGGCGGACAACCGCGAAATCTCTGAATTATCGTTCCAATGTTAGTATTATTGAGATTTAAACGGATCGTTTATAGTTAATGATAAAAGCGAACAGCAATGAAAACGTCGCTCCGCCGCCGGCTCGGTGTGCCGATGCGATATTTCTTTCAATTTATTCGTTTCTCTCATTTTTTATTTGTATTCGAATAGTCTCTCCTTGATCTTCTGCGAAAGTGTAATATGCTCTTTTAGTTTTTATGTGTTATTTAGTTATATATTTATCCTAAATATTTGCAACAGTTAGTCTAATTTGTTGTACAGAAGAAAATAAAGCATTAGGGAGTTCCTTATTTAACCCTGTTTCATTTTTAATACCTGTATCATTTATAAAAATATTTGGAACAGTTAGTCCAATTTGTTGTACAGAATGAATTGAAGCATTAGGGAGATTCTTATTTCACTCTGCTCCCTTTTTTATACCTGAATTATTATCTGTTGATTCCGTTATGTTTTTTATCATCTCTCTCTCTTCCCATTTCATTTGGGGTCGGCTCTCCTAGTCTTTCTTCTCCAGGCACATCTGTCCTCGGTTGTCGAGTCGGTTACTTCCGTTTTCTTTAGGTCGTTCATGATAACGGACTGCCAAGTTAATAGGGGCCTTCCTCGTCTCTTTGGGCCGATATTAAGATGCAGGACGTTAAATATGGTTGAGTGCAATGATGGCTGGCTCATCCGTCATACTCGTGAACGGGTGCTGCTTGTGGGAACTGATCTGTTCAGGGTGCGAACACTGATTAGATTTTTTGTTTTTTGCAATAGTTGCTGGTCACTCTATTCTCCCAAATTTGAATTTTAATGACTGTGTATAATTGTAAACATGTACAACATTTATTTGAAAAGAATACGAACGAAGTTTCTTGTCAGTTCTTCTCATCTCGATATCATTCCGAACTGACGGTAGATTTGACATATCATAAGAGTCTGTAATAGACCTACATAAATGAAGATATTTTGAATTTGAATTTGAAATTTATGCTTTTCATCATATTATTGTTAATTACCAAATCAGAACTACGAACATAGACTGTATACGATAGATTTTTTAATATATAGTTGATGTTTTCTATTATTTTATGTACAAAAATATTGTTTTGTCATGATTCTTCTTGGATGTGATTTTCTTTTGATACATATTAATATTAATTATTAATATTACTATTGCTTCCTAAAAAAATTTTATCTTTCAGTAATAATATTCACCAACATAACTATAATACAGTCCCTTCGCTTATCTAAAAAAAGCGTACAAAGTTACCGGCGACAATTAGTATTAAAAATGGGAAAGTGTACCTGTCTGTCTGATCATTACTTTTTCTTAGGTCTTAATGTAATTTGATGTAACAATTAATCGTATCTTGAGTACTGAGGTTGTCTTTTAATTATCTCAAAATATAATTATTAAATAAACCGGACAATGTCGCGTGTAAAAGCTAGATTGCTATAAATTGTAGTTGAATGAACTGCAAAGTAAATTACGCATTCCATCAATAAAATTCTATATAATGCGAATATGAATTGTTTGACATTGCAGCGTTAGAGAAATAGTGAGATCTTACATACATTTTCATGACTTACAGCTGAAACTGACAGCTCGCTGAAACCGGCTGTAAGTAAACAGAGTGTGGAATAATAGATGATCGCCGTCTAATAATACAATATAGTATGTGGAGCAGTGTTTCCCAACATGGGGCCCACGCCCCACAGGGGAATCAACTTGATTGTCAAGGGGCAATTAGAAAATGGACTCCCTATTGGATGTTTGAACTGTGAATACAAAATTTTCAATATAATTTTTTGAAAATTTTCTATCAATATCCTGGTGATATTTTTTCTAAAACCTATTATTTGTTTCTTAAAAGAACAATTCAAATTTTTAATATCATAAATTATGTATGATACATTTTAGAAAGGCATGACACAAAGAAGTTTGGGAAACACTGATGTAGAGTATACATTTTTGTCTGTATTAATAGTCTGCGGCTTTCGAAATAATCATGAAAACGTACCAAATATAATCATCTAAAGATAATCTACACGATAATAATAATAATATCTTCGCCATTTAGTCCCAAGCTAAGCAGAGCTTGTGTTATGAGTGAATATAACTGATAGAGATGCATTTTTTGTAAATAGGTGGCAAAATATTACATTTTATAATAAATCCAAAAAAGGACTGAACAGAATACAGGTAACATGGAAGTTCAGTTTATATTATAAACTTAATTTGGGCATTTGAATGATAAAATTTTGCACTTCACCGTCTGATTATGGATTAGAAATTAATACTATTGTGTCAAATCAACTAAACGTATTATTTACTTTGATAACTAATTGCGATCCAATGACATTGAATTGCTACATTTTGCACTTTTAATTATATATTATCAACGTATTAATTATAATAGATATCTTGTGAGAGTCATCATCATCTGCTTCTTCTTTATCCCATTTATTTGGGATCGGTTTAATGTTATTTTTTCTATTCATCCCTGTTCGCAGTCATCTCGTTTTTTACTCCCTTTCTTGCGATAGCATTTCTTGCCATATCATCTCTCACACAGTTTATCTATATCTTTTCAGACTCTCTACCCTTATAATCATACACATTCATACAGTCCATCCATCTCTTTATCTGCCTTCCTCTGCCCTTATAACATATCCACATTCATCTTAATCACGACGACGTGAACATTTCACGACATATCTCGTGAAAGTTTAGATAGTCAAAGAACTAACTTACACTGATTTATTCAATTTAGATATCATTATTTTTCAAAAGAACAATACACAAATCATTTGCATTGAAATATTAACATTATAGCCCAGAGCAGACCTGCAGATGTTGAAAATATTTGCTCTATAAAAACCATACTTTCCAAATCAAAACTTAATTCCTAGCAAACCGCGCGAGTGAGAGATGCGGGGGCCGGCAGACGCAAAATATGTCGACTATGCTCTGAAGCGTTGCCAAGTAGCTAACAGCAGCGATTTAATCACAACATTGCGAATGCGATATCAACATAATATCAAACGATCCGGCGAGACTACACTTTTAGCGTGGATTGGTTTATTTGTGTAACGTAGTACTAATAAACATTCAACTTTGAT